GGGCGTTGCACGGGGCCCCTGGTGAGTTAGGAATGCTTGTTTCTGTGTCTCCTGTAGTCTTTCCTACGGCAGTTCTGCTGCTGGTCAGCCCCACACTCCACTTTGGCATCAGATCTGGGCCAGAGACAGAAGCTGAGCCTCTGGGTCACGTGTGCTGCTGGGCAGGGTGGCCCCAGGCTCCAAGGACATGCCAGCTTCCCTGCTCCCATGCCAGGGAGAAGGGGAGAGGAGGAGAAGTGGCTTTTGCCTCGGTGACTAGCCCGGGGGGCCCGCCTGTCCCCAGGCCGGGGTCCCTCCGGTGCCCACCGCTGCAGAGACAGCTAGGGGCTCCCGTCTCCATGGTGCCCGGGGTGAGGTGGGGCCCGCGGCGGGGTGCAGCTCCTGGCTGGAGCTGGCTGCTCACTGCCCTGTTTAGTCTTGGGGACCAAGATGGGAGGAGTGTGGGAGCTTGACCACTGTGGCGCGGGAGACCATCACTGTGCGTGGATCATGGGCATGGCCAAGCCAAGGTTATTATTGAACCCAAACCCAGCGGGGGTGCAGAGCGGGGGCCTCCTGTCCTGGCTCAGGAGTCTTGGGCACAGGCCTGCTCCGACAGCCGGCAGCCGGGGTGGCGCGGACCCTGCGGAGGGGTGGTTGGCTCACACGGTCTCGTCGTCGCTCATGTCCCAGATCTGTGGGGAGAAGGGGAGACACTCAGCCCAGGGCTCCCCCCACCCGTGGGTGTGCTCACCAGGCTGCAGCTGTGGCAAGAAGCACATCCCCATGCATGGGGGGGGAGGGGAGGGGAGGCTAGGCCCCGCCCCCTCGCTCAGCAGATCAAGGCCCCGCAGGAGTGAAGCCAGCGTGAAGCCCTCCCACCTCAGGCCGCACAGCCACCCCAGCTTGCTCCTGTCATCACCACCCACCGGTCCTGCCTGCCCCCACCCCTCGCCACCTCCCACTCTGCACGTGGGCTGACAGTCCCCAGGGAAGCTCAGGGAGCGGCCCACCCCCCTCCCTGCAGAGGGTCCCAGGGCCCCTTGCCCCAGGGCTGACTAGAAGGCCATTCCTGAAGCCCTGCCCTCTGAACAGTGTTCTGGTGGACTGCCCGGGTGGCGGGGGCCCAGCCAGGGTAAACATGGCTGCCAGCTTGGCTTCCACAGCCAAGGGTGAGGAAAGCCTTCCGGAGAGCCATTTCTACAGGGGCTGCAGCCTGTGGGCACGAGGGTGGGCTGTCAAAGCGGCTCCGAAGCCAGCATGCACAGTGCGGCCTGCTGGGCTTTCTGTCCCCAGCCTTCTGGCCAGGTGTCAGCAGCTCGTGGCACACACTAGCTCTCAGACACGTTTATGGGTTCGAACCGTGAGCCAACTCTCCCTCCAAACATCTGCCTGCTGCCCCCCCTCCCATCACAGGGACAGGCGTGCGAGGCTGAGCCAGGCGGGCGGGAAGGGGAGGCCTGGGGAGACCCCAGCGCCCACCCTCCTCACTGTCAGAAACGCCCTGTGAAGGTGCCCTGGCCTGTGAAGGTGCCCTGGCCTGTGAAGGTGCCCTGCCCTGGCCACTCACAGCATTTGGCCCCAGCAGTTCCCTACTCTAGGTGATCTCGCAAGAAATGAAAATGTGACCACATGCGTGTGCACGCACACACGTTCAAAGCATCACACACGGCTTACAAGTGAACAGGGAAGGCTCTCCAGATGTCCACTGCAGCGAGGCTGGGCAGGATGCACACTCTTATTTAGACCCCTGGGAGTGGAGGCGCTGGGCGCGCCGGGGCCTCTCCACCTTACTTGATCATCATGAGCCTTGTTAGAGTCCCTGCTCCCGTGTCTGGACTCTCCCGGGCCCACACTGGCTCTCCACAGCACATACAGGATCACCACTCAACACAGAGATGGAGATGGCCCGCCCCCGCCCCATGCTGAGTGGCTTCGTTCTGCGTGGGTCTTGGTCACCCCACCATGGGCCTGGCCCAGTCCCTCTGACACAGCCCCAGCACAGAAAGTGGTGGGCGAGGCGGCCGGGCCGCGCTGAGCTGCAGAGGAGGGGCAGGGGAGGGCCCTGGCGGCGGGAGGGGCTGGGCCGCGCCCAGTGGGCCTCGTTCTGTATCACCAGAGACGGACCCCTGAGCCCAGACCACCCCAGGCTGTCTCTGGACCTCACTTCTGGGGGCTGCCACAAACCAAGGTTCTATCAACACCGTAATTACCCTGTGAATGGCACAATTATGTGTTGGCGGGTGTGGGTGTGTTAAAAGTGTTCCTTTGGTAAGTGTAAACATTTCCAATAGCGCACCGCGGGGAGCGCGTGGGAGGAGGGACCGGAGCTCCCGCCACCCCAGCTGCGCTTCTCCATGGGAGGGGCAAGCCCTGCCTGAGGATCCCCCCCAAGCACGCTGCAGAATCTGGGGGAGCAGTGAAGGCCTGGGGTGTGTCTCCGGGCACAGCAGCCCCTGCCTGGCCCCTATGGGCGTCTACTCCTTCCTGCGGTGTTCATGGGGTGGCGCAGTCCTGGGTGTGAGGTGCGTGTGCATCCCCCCCCTGCACATTACCCTCGTGCTCAGGGTGGGGTCCGGCAGCCGGCACTCAGAGCACTGCTAGCCTCAGGCTGGGGCGAGGCAGACGGAATGGGAGGAAGCCCTTGTGGGTGTTGAGCTGAGGGGCAAGGCCAGCGCCAAGCGCTGTGCACGCTGACCCACACATGCTGGGAAGCTGGGGCTGTGGGTCTTCCGACCCTCAGATCCTGCTCACCACGTCCCCGCAGGACCACGCAGATTCCACCCACACCACGTCCCCACAGAACCACAGATTCCACCCACACCACGTCCCCACAGAACCACAGATTCTACCCACACCACGTCCCCACAGAACCACAGATTCCACCCACACCACATCCCCACAGAACCACGCGGATTCCACCCACACCACGTCCCCACAGAACCACAGATTCCACCCACACCACGTCCCCACAGAACCACGCGGGTTCCACCCACACCACGTCCCCACAGAACCACAGATTCCACCCACACCACGTCCCCACAGAACCATGCGGATTCCACCCACACCACGTCCCCACAGAACCACGGATTCCACCCACACCACGTCCCCATAGAACCACGCGGGTTCCACCCACACCACGTCCCCACAGAACCACGGATTCCACCCACACCACGTCCCCACAGAACCACAGATTCCACCCACACCACGTCCCCACAGAACCACGCGGATTCCACCCACACCACGTCCCCATAGAACCACGGATTCCACCCACACCACGTCCCCATAGAACCACGCGGATTCCACCCACACCACGTCCCCACAGAACCACGGATTCCACCCACACCACGTCCCCACAGAACCACACGGGTTCCACCTGTGCCCACACAGCACCCCAGATTCTAGCCCTGCGCCTGCAGTTTCCAGTGGCACAGGGAGGCTGAGACCCGAGCTTCCTGTGCGTAGGGGCGGGGGGGGGGGCGCTGGCTCTCTGTGCCCTGGCCCTGCTGACTTCAAGCTTTCCACCCACAGCTGGCCCTGACCAGAATCTGCCAGACACTGCCACCTCTGACTCCCCAGGCATGGGGAGCCCTGGCTGTCCCTGACCTCTGCACTGCCCCCTGGGCACCGAGGACTTGGCCCAGATGGCAGCTTCCTTGACTTTGCCCTGGACTTTTTCCTCTCCCTCCAGCTCTGCTCCTCCTGTCCCCCCAACAGCGTTGCCCTGCCTTCTCCTTGGGTATCCTACTGACCCCCCTCACACCCCCAGCTCAGCTCCTGATGCAGCTGTTTCTGAACGGTTCCGTGGAGGACGGAAAGGATTTGTGGCATGGACATGAAAGTCACAGAGGGCACTTGGTGCCCCAGGCCAGGAGGACAGCGGGAGGGCGGGCAGGCAGGCAGCAGACCCCTCCGCCATGGCTCAGCCTGGCAGGGGCGTGGGACGTGGGAGCTCTGCACACAGTCTGGGACCCAATGGGCGGCCCGGGCAAGGCCTCAGGCAGGGGCTGGTCTGAGCTCTTGGCCTCTTGTCGGCGCAACACAGAATCTTGGGGTGCTAGGGCACTCCTAGCACTGTGCTGTTGTTTGCAATGGGGTCTCACCAACTTTATTTTGCCCTGGCTGGCCTCAAACCATGATCTTCCCAATCTCTGCCTCCTGAGCGGCTAGGATCGCAGGCATGAGCCATGGACGCCCACCTGGCACCTTTTAAAGGATGGCTGCTTGCCTCCCTACCAGCCTGGAGGAGTAAAGACCACCTCTCTCCTTTGGGGTATCCTGTCCACAAGGCCAGCGTGGCAGGCATGGACTTCAGGGCCAGCCTCCAGTTCCAGAGGGTTCTGTGGAGCGTCTCCCTAGCCACAGGGTGCTAGGTGAGGAGGTGTGCACAGAGTCCTGGCCTCCGCCATTGGAGTGCCACAGTGACCAGCCACAGCCAGCCAGGCCAGCGGGCACGACAGGAGGCACGTGACAGCAAGCTGGGCCAGCCAAGGCCGAGGAGAGGAAAGGGAGGGGAGACACCGCCTTGGCAGGACTGGGTGCATGGCGGAGAGCCGGGACACATGGCGGGGGAGCCGGGGCGCATGGCAGGGGAGCCGGGGCGCATGGCAGGACTGGGTGCATGGTGGGGAGCCGGGGTGCATGGCGGGGAGCCGGGGTGCATGGCGGGGAGCCGGGATGCATGGCGGGGAGCTGGGGTGCATGGCAGGGAGCCGGGGTGCATGGCGGGACTGGGTGCATGGCAGGACTGGGTGCATGGCAGGGAGCCGGGGTGCATGGCGGGGAGCCGGGGTGCATGGTGCGACTGGGTACATGGCAGGGAGTTGGGGTGCATGGCGGGACTGGGCGCATGGCAGGGAGTTGGGGTGCATGGCAGGGAGTTGGGGTGCATGGCGGGGAGCCGGGGTGCATGGCGGGACAGGGTGCATGGCAGGGAGTTGGGGTGCATGGTGGGGAGTTGGGGTGCATGGCGGGGAGCTAGGTGCATGGCAGGGCTGGGTGCATGGCGGGGAGTTGGGGTGCATGGTGGGGACTGAGGAGAGGGAAGGCATGAGTGGAGGAGCAGGGCAGTGTACACGTGGCAGCCCGGTCCCGCCACACCCCACCCGAAGATGTTCTGTGCTGATGCGGCCAGGCTGGAGGGCGGGCCGGGCCTAGGCACAGGTCAAGCAAAGGAGGGCAGACACCCAGCCTGCACACTCGGTGCTGAGATCTGGGCCACAAGTCCAAATCTGCTACCCCAAGCAACCAAGGTAAGGCTGGATACAGGAAGGAGGCTGGGGGTATCCTGGAGGGGGTGCAGGAGGGAAACAGAGGCTGGGGAGAGCAGGGGCTGAGCAGCCGGGGAAACTCATCTCACCTCCAGCCAGAAAGGCACAGGACTCCCAGACAGCCCACCGGTGGGGAGACCCTGAGGTACCGCAAGAGGGGTGCCACTGTGTCCCAGGGAGTGAGCAGCAGTCCCCCACACACACACAGGGGAGAAGGCCGGGGGGGCCTGCGCTTGTGCGGCTGGCACAGGCCGGAGCGCCGGAGGCCTTACGCCTGCTGACAAGCAGGTCTGAGGTGGTAGGGAACACACAGAAAACAAGGCTTGCACGGCTCTGGTTGGCCTCCTGAGGGTCTTTGCAGCGCTTCTGGCGCGGCGGGGAGTGGGGTCTTGGTGTCTGGGGACCTGGGGGACACACTGGCTGCA